GCCTGAATCAGATGCACCTTAGTCCTCAAACTAACATCATTACTCTTCAGTAATTTGTAAAAGTCCCTAACTGCAGATTTTCCCAGTGCAATGTATCCCCTTATTTCCTGACTTCTGGTACTAAGGGTGTTAATTGGTACCCTAACTCTAGGGTATTCCCTTTATTTGTGGCTTCCATTGTTTCTTCTATCACTTGTACTTTCTTTCATAGCTGTTCAAATGTATCTGTATCAATATATATCATCTGTCTTCTTGATTCTGAGATATTCATTGGGTCTGCAATATTCTCTGCTTTTTTATTTTTAGAAGCTCTAATTTGTTTTTTGTGGGTTTTCTTTTCCACAGTGTTTGAAGCTGCCTACAGCTTTCTCAACATCATGTGAAGGTTTTCTTTATAAATGTTAGGCCATTTCTATTGTGTCTGCATAAGTCTTCAGTAGTTCTTATTTTTATGATGTTATTGATTAGTTGCCAGCTAAAAATGTTCAGTCTATGGGGTGGGCCACTCACTCTACTCAAAGTCCTTTTTGGGAAATTTTGCCTTTCCTAAAGTCCTTCAGGTTCTGTCTGTTCTGCACTGCAGCCCTACAAGACATCTCACTTTAATCTAGTTCCCTCTCCCAATCTCCATTATCCTCCTTCCTCTATAAAGTGGTTGAGTGGTGTGAGACAGGTGCTCCAATCAAGTGGTTTCTGTCCAGAGGGAGTTTCAAGTCAGTTCTCTTTCCTTCAGCTCAATGTGCCAATTGAGAAAGCTGAGAAAGTCTTTCGCCTGATTGTAGCTCTGTCCGAAACTCTATTGTCCTGTTTGGTCTCTGGGATGGCCCTGCAGCTGAAGAGTCAAGGATCTCCTAATGGAAGGACCTTTCTCCAAGGAAGTTTCAGTCCCCTGTCGCCTTTGGGAAGCAGTGTCTCACCTGATACGCTTTCTCTCCTAAAGTTTGATGTCTTCTTTTATCTCTGGAATGGCATGAGACCAGAGGCACCAACTTAAGTAGCTTGTATACAAGGATTGGGGGGTGGGGGCAGTCTCAAGTCAGTCCTCCTCATAAGAAGCTGAGAAAATCTTTCCCCTACTTGTGGCTCTATGCCCCAAACTCTCTTGTCTGTTTGGACTCTAGAATCATATTTCTCTTAAAGAAGATGTCCTTAGCGTAATAAGACATAAATTCATTCAAGAATCAACCTAAGGAGTGAGCTTAACACATCCACTCAAGAATCTCTAGCTATAATTTTCCATCTCTTTTAATTAATTGTGTAATGTTTAAGATGCCACGGGGCTTGGGGGGGTGAGGAATGGGCGGGCAGGGGAGGTTGGTGTTGCCCGCCGTGCCATGCGCGCGAACTGGTCAACTTGGGAGGTTTATACACCACCCCGCCGGCCGAGCACGGAAGGTCGCGAGTAGAACCGTACCGCCTGACCTTCCCATATGAGCAACATATGAGCAAGGGCCTATGGTGATGCAGGAAGAAGTTCCATCTGCTTTGAAGAAAATAGCAAAAAATAAGGCCCCAGGAATAGATGGTATAATACTTGACATATTTGAGCTAATAGATGCTGCCCTGGACGTGCTCACCAAGTTGTGCCAAGAAATCTGGAGAACAACCACTTGGCCAACAGACTGGAAGAGATCTATATTTGTTCCCAACCCAAAGAAGGGTGACCCAACAGAGTGTGGAAACTATAGACCAATTTCATTGATTTCACATGCAAGCAAGATTCTACTGAAGATTATCCAAAAGCAACTGGAACAGCACATCAGCAGAGAACTGCCAGAAGTCCAGGCTGGGTTTAGAAGGGGTTGTGGGTACTAGGGATATTGTAGCTAATGTTAGATGGATCTTAGTTGAAAGCAGGGAGTACCAAAGAAATGTCTATCTGTGTTTCATTGATTATGCAAAGGCATTTGACTGTGTGGATCATACCATACTGTGGCTGACTCTGAGAAGAATGGGAATCCCAGAACACTTGATTGTGCTAATAAGAAACCTATACTTGGACCAAAAGGCAGTCATCAGAACTGAGCAAGGAAACACTGCATGATTCCAAATTGGGAAGGGTGTACGCCAGGGATGTGTCCTGTCTCCATACCTTTTCAAC